TGGCGGCAGCGTTGCCAGTCTATGTTATGGCTTGTTTCAAGCTTCCCGTGACATTATGCAGGCGCCTGGATAAGTATATGGCTCGATTTTGGTGGGGGGGCTCGGTGGAAAGGATTCATTGGATGTCATGGCGTAGGTTATGCCAGAGCAAGAGTGAAGGGGGGCTGGGTTTTCGGCGTTTTGAGCAGTTCAATCAAGCTCTATTGGCCAAGGTAGGGTGGCGGGTGCTTCAGGAACCTGACTCGTTACTTGCCCGGATCTATAAGGGGAAGTATTTCCCGGAGGGTTCCCTGTTGACGGCTACTGCTAGATCAAGGCCGTCGTGGGGATGGCAGAGTGTGTTGCATGGGGTTCAGCTTTTAAAGGCGGGGCTGCGATGGCAGGTGGGGACTGGAGAGGAGGTGGAAATTGCCACGGCCAACTGGGTCCCAGGGTGTCACCCTAATCCTCCAATGGTGCGGGAGTCAGCTCAGCTTTGGGAAGGTGCCACTGTAGCGGGATTGATGGGGGAGGAGCCTGGGACATGGTGTGAGGAATGCCTAGAGAATTGCTTTACGCCGGAGGTTGGTCGGGCAATCAGAGCGATCGTGCTGCCTAGGGTGCCTGTTCGGGATAAATTAATCTGGCATGAGGACCGGTCCGGCAAGTACACGGTGAAGTCGGGCTACCGTTTAGCGATGCGATTGAGCAAGAGCCAGTGGAGGGGCAAGTGTGGGGTATCATGGATGGATCCAGGCCTGTGGGGGAAGCTTTGGAATCTTAGGATTCCGCCGAAGCTTAAGTTCTTTTTGTGGCAGATCATGAATAGGGTTTTGCCCACCGTGGAGGCATTTCTTGCCCGTGATATTGAGGTGGAGGAGCGGTGTCCAGTGTGCTGGCATGAGATGGAGGAGTTGGAGCATTTGTTCTTCCATTGCCCGGTAGCTAAGGATCTGTGGGCTGATTCGGGCCTTGAGGATATTCGGGCTGGGTTGCCGGTGGGGTGTATGGGTTTGTTCGTTCGCCGGCTGTTGGACGGGGTGTCTGACGATGGAATCCTGATGCGGCTAATCTCCCTGCTCTGGAGGGTCTGGAAGTCTCGCAACTGGGTGGTGTTCGATGGTTGCCAGTATCAGCGGGTGGTCTTAAGTAACCAATGGCGGATCCAGGTGGAGGAATGGGGGAAGGCAAATGGTATGGAGGAGGGGCGGGGTCAAGGAGGGGGGCAGGTGGCGGTCACCGGGACGGTTCAGTGGCCCCAGGGTGTGTCTTGGGTATGCTCCTTTGATGGGGCGGTACGTGAGGCATCTCATTCTGCGGTGGGGATGGTCCTGCAAGGGCCGGATGGGGTGGTGGTCAGGGCGATGGGTAGGGGGATTGCTGGTCTTGCTGATCCAATGCTGGTGGAGTTGTTGGCTCTTCGGGAAGCGATCGTGTGGTGTCGGGCGATGGGGATCCAGGGTGTCTGCTACCAGGGGGATGCGAAGGTCGTAATTGACAAAGTGGTGGCAGGTTGTATATGGGATTCCAGTGGGGGTGCGGTGCTGCAGGAGGTTCAGGGCATGTTGGCGAATGGGTCGGGGGAGATGCTTCGATTTGTAGGCAGGGATAACAATAGGGTAGCCCATAGGGTGGCTAGGAAGGCCCTTTCTTTGTTTCCCGCTCTTATTGAGGGGTTCGATTTTTGCGTTTGGCTCCATTCGGAGATGTAATCGTTTGTGATCTCTTTTTCTTGGTAATGCAAGCTATCTTTGGTTAAAAAAAAAAAAAAAATTTAACATTTTTGTATGGCGATTGGGGCGACGCGTGCACACGTCAGGAAGCTGGAAAAGGGCCCAAGTAGTCGAGGGTGGCGTGGGCAGAGGTCAGCAGCTTCGGCCGGAAGCGGTTGCGAGTTCCACGTGAGTGACGTGACGCGGAAGGGGCCGGCTGAGTGACATCACTGATCGGATGGATGACGCGGGGGGCTTTCGATTTTTGCTTGGCCCTACAAAGCACACACCGGCCGTCCAAAGTATGAACTTCTGTTTGTTGTGGTTGTGGGTTTTGCCCATTCCTCCCTTTCATTTCTTTTTGGTCGGATTTCTCCGTTTCTTGCCGTCAAGGTTCATTCCATATGGATGGATTCATCGTCCAAATTAAGAGAATCCTAAACCATATACCCAGTGAGATTCTTTATTAGGCTTGTTAAATTAGTCTACTCAAACCAATTCCAAGTAAGTAAAACAATTTAAATAAGCGAACTTTCACGTGGGTTCATAGTAAGAAACTTTTATCCTCCCACAAATGAACTAACCAATCATCAATTCGTGAGGTTATTAGGGACAAGACTCCTTATATCACACATGTACTCTGTAATCTTATGGGTATAACTATAAAGTCACCGTCGTTACTACGGTGACTCGACATCTTCTGAAGCTACGCCTGCGCTAGTTATTTTCAACCCAACTGCTTCTCTCCCACTCAAGCTTATCGCAACCAAATTTCCATCATGGAGAGCCCAGATTCTCTCCCTCCTTCATGGCCTTGATCTTGTGGGCTATGTCGATTGTACTGTTGTACCACCTGCTGGCACCGTTCTCGTGGATAGAGCTCAAAGTCGGAACTCGGCCTACACTCACTGGTTCTGTCAAGATCAACTCCTCCTCAATGGTATTTTTGCTTATGTCCCCGAGGATGTTTTGCCCTTTATCACCTCATCCTCCACTGCTGCTGAAGCCCGGGCCTCCCTACTCTGCATGTATGAGAGTAGCTCCAGGTCTCGCGTCATGACTCTACGTGATCGCCTCCTTGTTGAGAAGAAAGGTGACCACTCTGTCACCACCTTTGTCCAATCTCTTCGCACCACTTCGTCCGATATGGCTCTAGCTGGTTCTCCTGTTGCTAATGTCACTGTCCTTCTCCGTGTTCTCGGTGATGATTATGCCGAATTCTCTGTCGGAATCCGCGCTCGTGAAAATCCTCCTTCCTTTCCGGATCTCTTCGATCGCCTTCTGTCCTTGGAAGTTGACCTCGCTACTCCCCGACGGGATCAACCTGTCATCGCTTTTCTACTCAACGCATGCGTGGTTCTTATCGTGGTCGCCGTGGTGTTGCTCCTGTTGGCCTCGGCTTTGGCAGCTCCTCCCCGTCTGGTGGCGATACTTCTTCTTCGACGACTTCGTCTGATTCCTGGTCTCCACCACCCGCTGACTCAACTGGCGCACCGCGCCGTGGTCGAATTTACTGCCAATCTTGTGAGAAGCCCGGTCATTCTGCTCGACAATGCTTCCAACTATGTCCTCAACAGCGCCCAACTCAAGCGAACCACACCGTGGGCTCATCCTTCCAACCAACGACTTCACGTCCCGAACCCTGGCTAATGGACTCGACAACCACTCATCACATAACTCCCGACCTCAGTAATCTTGCCTTCTACTTTGATTACAATGGTCCGGATGAAGTCTATCTTGGTGATGGCTCAGGTTTGTGTATCACCCACATTGCTTCCTCTGGTTTATCTTCTTCGTCATCCAGTCCCCTTACTCTTACTGATATCCTATGTATTCCGGGTATCAAGAACCTTTTGATCTCGTTAGCCAAACTGTGTGGTACTAACTCAGTTTCCGTTGAATTTTTTGCTGATTCTTTTGTGGTGAAGGATCTAAACACGGGGGCGTCGCTACTGACTGGAAGAAATAAAGAAGACACGTATGAGTTGTCGGGTGCGTCACAGGCTGTTCGGCTCGCGCTAGTTACTATTAGGGTTATAGGTATAATATGCCCCTCTACTATGGCGTTTTATCAAACATGCCCTTCTTCTATTTTTTACATCAAACATGCCCATGTACTTTGTAAAAATGATCAAACATGCCATTTTGTTTAAATTTTCATCCAAAAACCGTTGACCAAGGTCGAACTTTGGTTTGGGCGGCACAAATGTCTAAAATATCCCTAATAATTTCACTTTTAATTTTTTTTTGTCTTTTTTATAGCCAAATAATTCAAATAATTTCACTTTGAAGACACCCAGAGAAATACAACGGGAGATAAAAATGATATTTTCTCTCCCATTTGCCGATGTCGGGTCGTCTAAATCTCGGTTCAACCATGATTGACGATTTTTTCAATGAAAATTTTAACATAAGGGCATGTTTGATAATTTTTTCTAGTACAGGGGCATGTTTGATGTAAAAAATAGTAAAGGGGCATGTTTGATAAAACATCATAGTAGAGGGGCATATTATACTTATAACCCTTACTATTAGGACTTCCGTAGATTGTTGGCATCGTCATTTTGGTCACTCGTCTTTTAAAACTTTGTGTCATTTATTTTGCACTAATTCTATACCTGTCGCTGCTAAGTCTTATATTTCTTCTTGTACATCTTGTCATTTATTTCGCACTAATTCTATACCTGGTAGGATTTAGGCAAACCACCCCAGGAGTCTCTCCAATCAACGCCCGAAAGCAGCACCTTTGGTGATTTCTGTGTTTGTATTTTTTGAGAAGAAAAAACGAGGAGAAAAAGATGAGCGATAGGAGAAGATTTCTGGCCGAAATTATTAAAAATATAGGAAATTCGAAAATTAAATAATTAGCCAAAATGTGCGATTTAATATGTCAAATTAAATGACACACATTTTTTTCCAAAAGCCCACAAAAAAGCAAATTTAAAAACCACTTGCGCTTTACTTCTCCCACCAATATAATATTTCCTTTAACTCTTTTGACTATTAATATGATAAAATGTGATGATAATATGATCAAGTAGGTAAATTGAGCAAAACTTTCAAATCCAACAAATGGATGACGAAATGTATATAAGTTGGGGTCTTCCAATTGCAAATTGCAGTTCGCCCATCCTTGAAGGGGAAGCTGGTAATATTTGCTAACGTGTGCATGTGCTGGCTGCTATATCATCACTTCATCAGACATCAGGCTTTAGCTTTCTAGTAAATTGAAGCGTAGCCATGGAAATGGAAAAAAAAGAAAAGAAAAGGAAAGTCCACAACTAACACCCAACCCAACCAACTTGTCGCTAATGATAATAAATAATAATAATAATAAACATGTACATAAATAGAATATATATCAGTCATGACGTAATCACATGACATACTTCCATCATACACAGACAAGAGAACGACGCCCGCTCGCTAGCTATAAAAATCGTATCGTCATTCCTCACATCCCACACACCCAAATTCGGTCGTAGAATTCCCCATTAGCCTCCTCAGAATTTTAATAAACAAAGCTCCGCGTTAGCCACGAAGCCCGTTGACTGACGCCACCTTCTTTAAGTCTCCCTCTCCCTGTTATAAACCCAACCTCCCCTCATTTCCCAAACTCAAAAATCTCATCAATCTCTTCGTCCCGAAAGAAAAACCCACAAGATCAGAAATGCAAGAGGCGATTCCTTACAAGACGTGGCTGCCCCACTACACCACGACCAAGCAGCCGCTGCTCAACAGCGACGTCCTCGCGGCGGAGGTGGTGTCGGAGAATGCCATCATCGTCTTCGCCCGCCGGGGCTGCTGCATGACCCACGTCCTCAAGCGGCTGCTCCTGTGCGTGGGAGTCAACCCGCCGGTGTTCGAGGTCGACGACAACGAGGAGGACGAGGCCCGGCGGGTGTTGAAGGAGCTGCAGACGGTGGCCGGGGAGGAGGTTCAGTTACCGGCGGTGTTCATTGGCGGGAAGTTGTTCGGAGGGTTGGACAGGGTTATGGCCACTCATATCACCGGCGAATTGGTTCCTATTCTCAAACAGGCTGGAGCCTTGTGGCTTTGATTATTTCTCTATTCTCTCCCTCCCCTTTCTCCATTGACGTTGACTTTTGCTAATGGGGAAGCACCAAATTAGGGTCTGCTGGCTGCTGCTGCTGTAAATTAACCTTCTGGTGATTGAACAAAGAGATGACTGAATACAATGGTTATATATTGAGTGGAGAGAAATATCTTTGTTTGCTTTATGAACACCATATGTTCAGAAATCAAAAAGCACAGCTGGCTGAAGGTGTACAATTTCTCAGCCAAAAACAAATCTCATCACATTTGGATCAACGTTATCTTCAGAATTCTCTGTCAAGAGTTCACATCACCATCAACCAACCACTATCATATATCATCTGAATCTAAATACTATGCGACCAAATCCACCTGTCAACTCAATTGCGTAGGATATCGAAAATGAAAACAAGAACAAATATTTTTTTTAGCAACAAGCTATAAGGCTAGATCACTATGGACAGTAATGTGAATCTTACTCGAGTCAGTACATTTTTCAAATAAGAAATAACAGTGACCTTAGAAGAAAAACAAGGTAACCCATCATCAAATTGTATCTAACCAAGAACCGAAATCATCCAAAGCTGTAGACTTTGGGATTGCTTGAGAGGAAGAAGATCCAGTATCCGGAGGCAACTGGTTCCTATGGGTAGTCTGCTGCAAGGCAGTGGATGTTTCTGCAAGCAAACTATCAAGCATGTCGTCTATATTTCCATCAATGGGTGACATTTGCGATTGATAAGGCACACTCCTAGATGCCCGTGGCAAAACTGCAGCCTCCTCAGTTGAGATAGGAAGAGAAGTACCTGATATGGGGGCAGAAGGAGGATCGTCAAGATTGGTGTCAACAAATGAGTCAAGAAGCTTGTCCAGCTCTGCTTCCGCAGCTGCTGCCTCGAATGTGTCAAGTTTTTTTGTAGAGTCTGGGGTGGAATTGTGAATAAACTTGGATTGGGACTCTAGAGATACAAGGTGATTGAACGTTTCACCCGCCAGTTCGCGTTCGAATGGAGATGATGTTTGAGATCCTTGACTGAATATTGGTCTAAATCCTTCATGGGCTGTAGATTCCTCAGGTAATAGGTCAGCATCTTGATTCACAATCTCGACCGTCCTAGATACGTCTCCATGAGATGCATGCTCTGGCTTAGATGTGCTTACTACACTTTCACTCCTTTGTGTTGAGGAGCCCTGATTATGGCTTGCCTGTGATCCATCATCACACTGTGAAAAGTGAAAAATTGTCCCATGAATAACCAGAGGGGGGCAGACTGTCGATTAGCAATAAAACACATGTAACATAAAGACCATGCTCTAGGCAACAGTCACACTGGGTGAAAAACAGGAACCAAACAACCCATTAACTGCTTTACCCTGAGTTTGAACATCCTTCACCAGTAATCAGTCTGGATGATTTTGTGAATCCACAAGTATGTTGCAAATGTCAAAAGCACACTAGCTCAAAACGTCTTGCTAATTGTGGCCCGAATCTAGATCAAAAGACGACTACAGCGCTAACTGATATGTGCTTTAAATTAAATTTGCATTAGTTACTTGGTACGTATTGCATTAAATTGGCCGTTCCTGTGACCAGTGTTTTGAAGATTCCCAAAATCCCAAATTCTAATATAACACTCTGTCTGATGATCTTTGAATATCTCAAATGCATCTGAATCTTTCTTGCTATTAGTAGTCTCTTTGATTCATCCAAATTTTCCTATTGCATTATTAGTTACTCCATCAAACACTTTCTTAAGCCTTAAACATAAAATATGAATGCTTACTCCATCAAACACCTTATTAAGCCTTAACATAAGACATGAATCTACTTGCAACACTAAAAGCTAGTACTTGACGTTCACATAGATCTAACACTCAAGACAAACTTCGATAGACAAAAGCCAAATGAATGGAGTTCAAATAATGATGATAAGGAATGTGACTTACCAAGTCTGCTGGTAATATATCTGGTTCAATGAAAAGCCTCTTCGAGATATCAACCCTCGCCAGTTGTTCCTCAAGAGCTTGAAAGTTTAATGACAGAAAAGATGCCTAATTGGGAAATCAGTGAAGATAAGAGGATCAAACAGAAGGAATTAACTGGAATGTAGAATAATCTCAGCCAGGTAAAACAAAATAGAAAGTAGTCATCAAAAGAAGAAGAAGAAAAAAAACAATAAGTTATAACATAGAGTATATTACTTCTAGTTATAGCTTTACGGTACAAACGCAAAAAATAGCCCTCAGCAGTTAATGGTCAATCTAAGCGGTATCTTGCTTCTCTATTTCTGAATAAATGCCTAATATGTCAATCTGGACACTCAAAGTAGTTATATTTCTGCACTTGCTAGGAAAAAAGGCAAAGCTAGAATCTTTTTCCCGATGGCTAAAACTATAGACCTAGATTGTAAATCAATCTCTAGATCACATGGAAAAGGGGAACCCAGACCACACAACTATCGACAGATGACCACTGCAAAATTAACAAAAGCAGTGTTCGAAATATTACACCTCAGCGTCTTGATTAACATTACATAACAACAGAACAAGTCAATTACCTCCTGACTAGCAGTTGCTCCACTCTCCTCATCCACAATGAAATTATCATCTAAAATCCATGACAAAATGCCCTCTCCCCTGGCTGAAAGCATGACTCCAAACGTCTGCTTAAACTCATCTGCCATACATGAATAGTGATTTATACCAGACCAAGAAGCTTAAAAACGGATAAAATGAGACAAGCAGCAAACGAGGGTACATTTTGAACTCAATGGGGGCCTATTCGAACATTAGTGGGAGCAAGAGAGTATGTCTATACCAGGCAAAACATCGTCTATAGTAAAAGAGCTGTCCAAGTAACCACTTGAATGGGGCTGAGATTGAGCTTCAGCAAGCAGATGACGATAATCTGCACCTTTGCTCTTGGGCAAAACTACATCAGAAGCCTTGCTTGCGGTCTCCGTGGACATTTCCCCTGAAACTACATCCAAATCTTCGTCATATCTATCCCAATTTGATGGCAGCGCAGATGAGGTAGCTCGCTCTTTATCCTTAACCGGTTTCCCCGGCGCTTTGCTTCCAGCTGCACCATCGCCGCCACCTCCGCCGGGCGAGGGTTTCGGTTTACGAGACGGATGTGGCTTCTTGCTGTTGTGCAGCGAGTGAGCTCGTTTGGATTTGGCCAGCGATTTTGCGTCCATTGTTAAGCAATCAAAGGAAATTCTGCTAACGTTCAACCTGCCGGTGCCGTACCATGGATGAATTCACAAGCAGAACCAAATGCGAGAGACTACCGAAGCAATCCCAAGAATCCAAGGAAACAAATGCGAGAGACAGTTATCGAACCCTAGATAATAGAAGCATTGAGCAGTGGGGGTATACCAGACGATTAAGCAGATTCCTTTTTGCGTCGCTTCTGAGTTTATAGTTCAGAGTTCAGACAACCACCGCAAGTTCGGAGTCGGTGGGAGACGCATCGGCGCCGGCGCGGAGAATTGAATCTGAGGTCTCTGCTTCTTCAGCTCATAAATCGTAATGAAGCGGATACGAAATCCACGGGCTGATCAGTGATCGCGATCCAAGAGAAAGAAAAGAAATTGTGAGGGTGCAAGAAAAAAGAAGCATTAAAGGACTGTGTGAAGCCCAGTTGAAAATCCACAAAGTCCAGAAGAATGCTTTGCGGGCTGAACGCCTCAACCCTACACCATTGGGTTCAGAAGCATGTCTCTGTTGAGCCTCGAACCAACGAACACTAGGCAACCAAAGCCCATCATGGGCCTGTGTTTATCTTGCAGTGGTTGCTATTTCACTTTCGGCCAGCTTTTCGCTCCGCTGTGGTTTAGACAAGAAGTTCTAACAGATTGTTATAAAATAGCAAGGAAGACCAATAGACACAAGAATAAGAGTAGAGACACAAAAAGAGAGGGGAATAGAGCTTTCTTATTCATGTATTCCTTAGTACAAGGAGATCATCTATTTATAGGCACACATCACATAACATCTACATTCTTACAATCAATATACATGAATGTGAGAATGAATGTGAAATAGAAATGGGGTGGGGGTTACATGTAACACCCAATTGTGCATCTAATGTGGTGGTCATCCACATGAATATTTACATAATACTCCCCCTTGGATGACCACTAGATTGCATTACGCTATCTCATGTTGTCTCATTAAAAACCTTACCAGGAAAACCCAATGGGAAAAAAAAGTCATGGTTAAGGGAAAAAGAGTGCAGCGCGTATATGCTCCCCCTCATGACCACATCGATCAGTTCAGGTCTTTGAGTCGTCAAACTCCAATTTCGCGGACAAGCTTTAGAAAAATTGTTGTCGGGAGTGACTTGGTGAATAAATCTGCTAGATTCTCACTTGGACGCTCCTTAGTTCACGGGTTGTGGTTCCAGTTCACGGTCCTAGAGACCGTGAACTCCAATGGCAGACCATGAAGATATGCTGTCTCCTCCTCTTTGCCTGTTCTTTGCTCCTTTTCTTCCAACTTTCGACCCCGGGGTTGATTTCACCTGTTAGAATGTGAAACACACTGAAACACAAGAAACCTCGTGTAATTAAAACCACCCATTTTGGAGTTCAATTGCAACAAACGTCAAAGAGAAACATGAATAAAAAGTGTACAATTAGGCCCGGATCACTTATACTACTAAATGGTGTGCTATGGTAGTTGTTTCAGATGATCCTCTCAATTATGAGGACGCAGCTGCTGAGGAAAGATGGAATGCATCAATGAAGCTTGAGATGATATCTATTTAGAAGAATGAAACCTGGTATTTGACTACGCTTTCAGCTGGAGCAAAGTGTATTGGCTTCAAGTGAGTGTTTAGAACTAAACTAAAGGAAGATGGAACAGTTGACAAGTTCAAAGCCAGATTGGCGACTAAGGTTACTCTTAGTAGCATGGTGTGGATTACACTGAGGTTTTTGCTCCAGTTGCCAGATGGGACACCGTCAGAAGTTTTCTAGCTCTTGCTGCCACTCATGGCTGGATAGTTTACCATATTGATGTAAAGAGTGCATTCCTCCATCTCCATGGCACTCTATCTGAAGAAGTTAGCATAATTAGTTAGTTGATTTGTAGGTTAGTGGAAAGCCGATATTGTAGGCTGGGATCAATGTACTTATGGTTTGCAGCATCCACATTAATAAAATTGTCAGTTTGAAATTTATTTGAGCTTAAAGGGGTTTGGATGGGGTGATTTAATCAGGAATAAGGACCATCAGCTCAAGACCGACAAAACAACGCAAAACACTGGTGTTATACCATGTTTGCCCTCCCATGATCAGATAGATGAGGAAATAAAAAATGATAAAGAGAGCGAGAGTGGGGATCCAGATGTATGGAAGTAGGACCCACAACAACCGGAGCTATAGTGGAATAATCACCTACACTAGGGGTGGGCATTGGTGCGGTTCGGACCGCACCGCACCGCATTCATATAAACCGCACCGTTACCGCATTCATATAACCGCACCGCATCTTTGACCGCAAAGTTATCGGTACGGTCAAACCAAACCGCATAGATTAACGGTTTGGTACGGTTTAGACCGCACCGCATCTTGACCGCAATTCCCTGTGCTTGACGTAATTCCAAAGGAAAAGAATCAGAAATTTTCTAACGCCGAAAACTTTCTAATACCGAAATCTGCTATTCCAACTAATGTTGTCCAATTCGAAGTCAACTGGAAGTTTCTCTAACAAAGCCTTAGGCTCTTTTTCATAAGGATGCAAATTGGAACAATTCTCTACTGCAACATTACAAAGGGAAGAAAAGGTTTCAGGCAGTCCTTGTGCTTGACGGATCAGGTCGTCCCTGCACAGAAAGAATGCAAGTGGGGAAAGACAGAAAAAAAAGAAACAGCAGCCTTGAAGCCTGTTGATCTTGCCATGAGCAACAATTCAATCCGTCCACATTGCTCTGTTTCCTGCCACCAAAACAGAGCATATGTTGCACAATAAAAAAGAAATCAGATGCTACCACCAAAACCCATATCAGATGCTCTGTTTTCTGCCACCAAAACAGAGCATATGCTGCACAATCAATGAGGTCACAACACAAACAATGAAACTGATGATTCTGTTATGGAATTGTCATCTATCAATTTGCTGAGTGACTGTGTGATGAAAGTCTGTGTGATGAATTGTCATATATATGCAAAAGACTGAAGGAGGGCTTTAAATGATAAGCAACTCTTGCCATCTCTCTCTGAGTATTTACTGGTATGTAAGTTTGGTCACCATCAGCATTGACGCAAGCCATGGCTTCCTCTCTCTCTCTCTCTCTCTCTCTCTCTCTCCCTCCCTCCCTGGTTCTGCTTCTAGTTCTCTTCCCCAACCTAACTTACCCTGATCAATTAATCCATGCCACAACTACTGCTGTCATTCCTAGCTAGCTACCCATATGATTACCATCATCATCATTACTGTTATCATTGCATTGTCTGAACATGAATTGGAGGTAAATTAAACCCTACACTTATTTAGAGAATCTAGTACCGGCTGCATTTGTGTGCTAGCTAAGCTAGGTTGCTGCAATATATAAAGTTAGGAGAAGAACATCAGCAGTCGTATAAATTAAACCCTACAAATGAAATGCTGACATGTCCCATGTCACACCTAACTCTTCCAAGTGTCTCATACTTGATCATGTCAGGGAACAACTACACATTACTAATACCTATTTGAACAATCAAAGAACCATTACCTATTTGAACTACTCAAAGAGAGAAAGGAGATGTATTCTATCACTTACTGCAGATTATAGGGGTGGGAAACGGTGCGGTCCGGTCCAGACCAGACCATAGATACGGTCTGTGGTCCAGACCATAGATACGGTCTGTGGTCCAGACCGTGAGGTTGAAAAACGGACCATGGACCAGACCATATACTATACGGTCCAGACCAGACCACACCTGTGCGGTGCGGTCCGGTACGGTCTGGACCAGACAGACCATGTTAAAAAAAATTAACTCTTGTTTGCCCTCCAACCCTTCGTCGGTATCTATAAAAAAAATCTAGTGACCAATAGGCTAGTGAAACAAAAAAATTGTGATCGTATTAAATAAGAAATATGAGGATAGAAGTGAGTTTTTTCAATTTTCAAATAGCCTTATTTCCCTATTCCTCTTTGTGCTACCGCTTCTCTCCTCTCTCGAGTGATCCGAAGGTTCTCCCAGTTGATAACCTTTTTGATGACGTCGAGGTAATTTCGAACCACTAAAATGGTCGCATATCTCTCAATAATTTTCCTTATCTCATCAAGGTGAACAAATTTTTTTGTAGTGTTTAATTTTTATCGACTCCATAGACTAGACATTATCTGTGAATATTATTTATGAGTCTTTCTGATTTTTGTGTGGTACTTTGATAAGGAGATAACATATAAGCGATCATTTTGCAATTTGTTGGCTCTCAACTAGATGAAGAATCAACTAACTTTGTTCTTCAAATACGCATATGGAGGTTCAATTTAGTGTTATTTTTGTCCAAGGTAGTAGGTAGTGTGTCGCGGTCTGTTACGGTTTACTGCGGTAGACCGCGGTCCAGACCACTTCAGACCACGCACTAAAAGAGGAGACCGCAAACCAGACCAGACCATAATTCTGGTCTCACGGTTCAGACCAAACCATACGATACGGTCTAGACCGCGGTTTCCCATACGGTTTGGTCTGGATTCCCAGCCCTAGCAGATTATATACTACTGTAGCAGATTTCAAATGAAAGGATCATGTCACCAGATATCACAATTCTACTCATCCAATGCCAACTAAATGAAAGGATCATGACTGCATTGCATTGCTTTTGAACTGCATGATCCATGTATTCCTGCCCCATTACCTAAATTGTCATGCCAGATGCCAACTAAGCCATATTCTATGAAACCAAAAATTGGACTAAGCAACTCTGAAACCCCAGAGAAACACACACCCAAATACAGAAATCAACTCTGAAACCCCAATACAGAAACACACCCAAATAAATCAACTCTGAAATCCAGAGTTAAAACTAAGCTATAGATCATACAACTTCACATCAGGAACATAATATACAATGAACATCCGTGGATTTCCATTACTGAGCTATTCTCAAGATAAACTTCAAATTCCTTTTTTCGTTCATTTAGTAGTTCACATTCTGGGTCATGAACAAAATTGCCAAAAATGTCCTAAACAGGGTTTTATACAGCATACAAAAACTCAAATACACACACCATACTCTTACACCAGTTGATGTTCTGGACTCTTCAGCAGGAGGACAGAAAGAATACATCTCGCTGGAAAGCCAACTAGCAATCATTCAACCAACTACATTCTTAACCCCAGGAGTTCAACTACTTAGTTAAGCAAACTCAGTAACTCGAATCTCGGTAAGAAGCAAACACGGGAAAATCTCAATGCAGCTATAATGATTCTGCTACTCAAAGTGTAATAGAAGAAACTGTACATGATAATGGATCCAAACATCAGGATGGGTTGACACTTGATAGGCAATTCGAATTTCGAAACATGAGAAACCAAAGCAAATACAACAGAACAACCCTAGATCCATACCTAACAAATCTAATCAACCCACTATGCATACCCAATATGTAACTCTATTCCTACTTGAAAATCCACGGAGGGCAAAGGGATCAGTGGGTCGGTCGCCGCCTTGGCGGAGGTCCGACGGGAATACAGCGGTGAGAGCTAAGGTTGAGATGTGCTTGATTCAAGATTGAATCCAAAAGAGATCGATCAAGGATATGAAGAGGGAGGGAGAGAGTACCAGAACGGCGGTGTGAGCCGGGATGCAGAGGTCGGCGGAGGTGCGAATCTGGATGTTAGGTCAGGTGAAGCGTCGTCGGCGTCGATCTATGAAGCTCGGGATCTCTCGTCTCTTGGTGTTGTGCAACGTCGAGAGGAACAGAAGATGGGGAAGGCCGAAGGCGGCAGAACGGGTAGCGAGGGAATGGTGCGGATCTGGCGGGGACTGGGTGAGGAAGAAGGATCGCCGCCGGGAGGATCGCGGTTTGCGGCGAGGAAGAAGAATCTCTGCAAAGCTACTCGAGCGTTGGTGGTGGGCGACCTTCAGTAAGAATTAGCGGTTTGCGGTTTTGAACCGTAACCGTGTGGTTTCGGTCAATCCAAACCGCGAACCACTAACAACTAAATGGTTAGTCCGCAAACGAAACCGATAATTAACGGTACGGTTTGGATTGACCGTTGGAGTGGTTTGGAGCGGTTTGGAGTGGTTTGGTCAAACCAATGCCCACTCCTAACCTACACCATAATTTTATGAAGTGCAAAGTGGTGCCACTGGTTTAAGTAGTCAGTCGGACAGTTGAACTAAGTAGTAGCAAGCCAAGCAACAGTTCGGTGTGGTTGGGAGAGTCGGACTAGATTGGTAGTCAACCATCACATAGATTTGGCTAATGGGTTCGACTCTGTTGGTTACATAACTAATCTGGCCGAGTTGCCATAAAATAAAATCAAATAAAATTTATCTGAATTCAAGAAGCACTAGCTACGACGATAGTGGTCAAGCTCCTCGTGCTCCTTTTACTAGTCTTAGTGGACTTCTCAACTATATAATCACTCTCACAGCCATATTTCAGGACAATAAGTTTCTTTTTAGCTTCGTTACCTTCATTTTCATTCACACCAACAAAATCTCTAATAATTTCTAAAAAAAGGCAATGATTAAACCAGTATAATCCCCTACTAAATATCTTGCAGTCCATTTTAAATATACCACTTTATCTTAGTGGGATTTGGATGGTAAAATATAAGGTTGATAGAGACCACTTCATTGCTCTTATTGATCGATTTTGTTATCCTCATCATCATACACATAGTTAATTGTTTAACGCATGCATTCGTTAATTAGTGTTATGTTGTTTAGGCATTACATGGAGATTCCATCTCTAGAAAGTAAAAACTCGATTGCAACTTTGGTTATGGATTATTATTTTATGTCTTTCGCAATCAAATAAAGGGGTGAAAAAACGTGAATAGGTCCGTTGATTTCCTTTTGCGTGTGAAAGATGTTGGACCCCTCCATTTTCATGTCGAGTGGAGCTAGGTGGTGTTTGCTTTTCTCTTTCCTTTTGTTCTCTAATTTGCGTTGTATATGTTTTTTGATAATGGTAATTTGCGTTGTATATATGAAATCCAAAAAAGAACCTTTTTAATGCTTCTTTTTCCTTTTCTCACCTTGTGTGCTTTGCTTTCAAGGTATTGCATGAGCCATGAGTACATTATCATTAGGGTTTGATTGAGGATTTAGTGGAAGTCCCTTTCGTAATATGTTCATTTGTTAGGACATAATTTTTAATCTCCCAACAGATTGCTAGTGTGCAAATTATGAAATTTTGGGGATGTTAATGTAGAGAACTTGATTGTTTGAGTTTCATTTACGTAAGGTATTTATATAAGAATTGACTTTGAATATCAAGTATGCAAATTATGATTCATTCATTAAATATATTTGTAGCATAATTATCATTAGGGTTTCAAGTATCCTTATCACGCCCCTTTAAGATAGGTAGCAGACAATGACTCTAATCTTGGATCTTATAAGCTGGAAGCGAGAGACACCAAGTGATTGTGGTAAGGCTGTCAACGAGTTGGGATGTTGTTTGTTGTTGTATTTGGTTGTTGATGGAGCTAGCATTTATTTGGTTGGTGATGCGACAAAACTAAAAGAGCACGGTGTCAATCAAGTAATTAAGTGATAAATAATTTATCGTTCTTAGTGGAATATTGGTGCAGCTAAGATAAATTTTGAGAAAATTGTGAATTGAAAAAGTGATTGATTTGAAAATGAAAATAAAAATAATAATTACTAAACTAAAGGACAGTATGAACCAGGCACAGTAGAAAAATCAATGGAGAGAATTTTTAAGGAAAAAACCGGATTTCACTATTTCACCTCTAAGAACTAATTATGTTTATTTAACTATATAATCAATATTTCTCACACAATAGAAATTAACAGAAGAAATATATGAATTAAGATAGAGGTTCAATAATTACGTTCTAAATGTTACCCCAAAATTAAGATTTTGTTCATGATAATTAAAAAAAGCATGTTGACGATGATAATTTCAAATAACACCTTGTGCGATTATAATAATAAATAATTCTCATGATTCTACAGACTGGCTCCCCTATCTATATATTATCATGATAAGAAAAAGTATTGCTCAAAGGCATTTACGATGATTAAAACTTTGTTACTATTGACGATGGTTGTGGTTAACCGTTTGGAAACAAGTTAGCTTTTCCTAGAGGTTGAGAACGCAGGTACTGTAGTTTTTGTAGAAGCAGTTTTTTATTGGAGTTTTTAGAGAAGTGTTTTTCGAAAAAAGCAGTTGAGTGTTTGGATGAAAACTATTAGAAATGATTTTTAATATGAAAGATTGTGTAAAATGACTATAATTGACTTATAATATGAATTATGAATAAAAATTCTAAACAATAAAAAGTAGTCAAAGTGGATTTTGTTAGATTTGTTTAATATTAAATAATATAATTTTATATTTTATTTTATATTTCAAATTATATAAAGGAAAGAAAATAAAATTTTATGAAATAAAATTAAAATATGGTAAGGATAATCTTGTATTCTTAAAACAGCTTTGCACAGAAGCTTCAAATAAGAGCTTCTGCTTTTATGTTATACAAAAACATTTTTCGACTTTTTAAATGTCGATTTCTTAGAGATGTTTGGCTCTACTTCTACTTTTGAAATCGAAAAACACTTCTAAAAACCGGACCCAAAATCAGCCTATAAGAGGCAAAAAGCAACTGTAGTAGACAAAATAATTTGTTTAATAGAGATCCAATTTTGCCTTTCTTGACCGAGAATTGTGGGTATCTTCTTTATCTGTTGATGCATACAGTGGAAGAATCAATAATTGATTTGGCGAAACAAGTGGAGTCACAGAATATTTACATATGTACAGACGAAATGAAAGAAAAAGGATTTCGTGTTTGTTGGCTGACTGAAAAGATAAAATTTTCTGGGCAAAGATGGAAGGGCAAGTTGTCTTTTTTGCCGAGAAAAAGAGCTAGCTAGCACAACACCTGAATCCTCATCCTGTCCTACAAACTAATCAATATTGTCCCAATCAAAATTCACTTACATGGGCTGGGCCTGGAACAAGACAAATTGTTCTCCGTGAATGAATGATTTAACCTTCCCACCACGATTAATATCATATATCTATGCTAAAGTATGGATGTGTCACCTAGCTATCTAGCTAGCTTGTAGATCATTATTGTCGGTAATATATTGACCAAATCGTCTTTAACTTCCTTTTCTGTTCTTCTTTCTTACTCCCTATTTTCGATGGAAATCCAGCTATTATTATTATTATTATTTATAAAAGGGTAATATATGTTTACTCTTTTTTATTAGATGTTATTTAAAAGATTCATACCTCCATATTAAAACCTAGTGATACCGCTAGACCAAATCCTTATTCACAGTAAATTCGTCATTAAAAAAAAACGCCAACTGGTCCATCCATGCTAAGTATTGGTTATGTAGTTGGGGAGCATTTCTACAATACTTTAAAGTATTAGTGCTTTAAAATACAACTTCAAGATGTACCATAACGTTAAAGGTACAAATTAAAGTTGTATTATAAAAGTACAATTTTAGTTTGTACAATAAAGAGATTTTTCAAAAAAGGATAGGTATAACCTAAAGTTATATTATCTACAGATTACTATAAGCCAATGTTGAAATACAGCATTTGCCACGTCAGGCACTACTGAAACCGCCGCACAAATCGGAGGCCCTTTCCCGTAATTTTCCCAATCCTTCTATTTCACGCATTCTGTCTTGCAATCTCACCGGAAATCGTCCCCTCTCCCTTGCCGTCCCGACCCCTTCTGTATTCCAGCCTCACCGGAAATCGAAGTACTCACTCGCTGTCCAACACAATAATCGAAGATCTCTCACTTAATCGAAGTCCGATCATTTACCCAACCCCGCCGTCTCTATATTTCCTGCTCTGAGCCGTCGGTATTTTGTTGCCGGTCTATTTTACCGTCGTCTGTGTATCTCACCCTGATGCTGATTTGTCGCTCTTGCTATTCGTCCGCTCTGTACTCTCTCCAGCGGCGAGTATTCCCAAGCCTCTCTCGCTCTCGCTGTTGTCTCACAGGAAATCGAAGTCCCGTACGTCTCGCTCCGTACTTTCTTTCCAACGGAGAAGTATTCCCAAGCCATCCCGGGTAACCCCTCTGTTTTGCTCTTTGTCTCGCTGCTCAGGGTTGAGAAACCTCACATAGCGCCTAATCGAAGCTATATTCCATGTTCCTGTAAGTTCCTGAAATTTGGTTTCTGTGTATTAATTTCGGCTTCTCTAAATCTGTTAATCGAATTTCTGTGCTCCTTTTTTTCCATTTATTTTTCCTTTTCCAATGGGCGCTCGATCCAATTGATAACTATTACGCGTTGTCGGTTTTGTTCTACAGAGGCTTCCTGATTTTCTTTGCTTTGGACGAGATTTAGATGCAATTTCTGGATTTTGCTCGAGCCATTGTTTGATGAAGATTTAATTCCCCGGGTTGATTTGTTAGCTTTGTTGCTAGGATTGCTCTTGGCTCTTGACCGATTGCAATAATGCCCCCCAAGCATTGTTGCGAAGAACATGGTATTTATTTCCAGTACTCTCAGTAGATGTAATATGCTCATTATTTCCCTTTGATGTTCTTTTAGGATTGTATTCCAGTACTCTCAGTCGATGTAATATGCTCATTATTTCCCTTTGATGTTCTTTTAAGATTGTATTAAATATATGCAGGCATCCATTTAGTGTTATGATTTCGTTTCTCCATTATGTCTTTGTCAGGGAAAGGTAGGGGCAATATGTATCTCGCCTGAAGGTCCTTTTGGTGATACGTCATATGGATCGAGTGCATTTTGTTTTGGTCCCAAATATGTCACTCTCCGCCTTTCCCTTAGCTTTGCCTATCATTGAAGTTTCGTTTCATGAGCTGAGTTGTACTTCATTAGTTCTAGCTTCTAAGCATGTTTAATAAGTAATGAAGTAGTTCAGTTGTAACGAGGCAGAAGAAAATTCTCTAGATAGCATGCTACTTATGCTGAATTAGTTGCAATTTCTAATCATGATATACCTAATGAATCAAAAGCAGATTGTGATAAGAAAAAGCAGTTTGTAATTATGTTTTTTACATTTCTTCTTACGGTTGTTCTGAGAATGGTACTGAATGGTGATCCAACTATTATGATTATGTATTTGCTTGCTAATTGTTGTTTGGAATCTTGCAGTTTGTAATCAGTAAAAGCATTTTGTAATTCTGTTTTAGTTACATTTCTTCCTTTGTTCTTACTGTTGTTCTGAGAATGACACTAAAAGATGCTACATTCAATATGATTATGTATCTGCCTGCTAATTAGTTGTTTGCAATCTTAGATGTGATGATTTGTTTGGTGTCCGTTCGATGGAGTTTTTGGACCTCTTTACTTCCTAGAAAGTTGTATCCCTTTTTTGGTTTCGTAGAAATGGATACTTGATTTGATCTTCTAAATTGAATTTTCCTTCATGCGCTTTTGGACTTTGATCCTCTTTAGGGACATGCGGTTGTTGTTATGAAGTGTGGTTTTTTTCTTTCTTTCTTTGTTTTTTTTTTTTGTTTTTTTTTTTTTTTTTTGCTGCAAGCAGCGAGGAAGTTATATTTATGCTCTACATAATCCATAACTTCCTCCACTCTCTTTCCCTACACCATTGGTATTCTTCAATTTAATGTTTGAAACGAAGAGTCATGTGTTCTGTTTCCTACATCTCTCATAGTATTTACTGCATCTTGACTGTTTGTATAATTGTACAACATATGATGTTCCTTTGAAGACTTTTCAAGCCAAGCATAATGGAATTACAAGGATGATTTATATTTGTAAAAAATGGATGAAATTTGGATTTCCTATAGTATTTTATCAGCGCGGTGTGTGATATGTATTTGATTAACTTTTGTTACTTCATAAACATGAAAATCTATTTAATTCATATATGTTGGATTTCAGGTAATCCGGTTGTATAAGAATTCTCAATCAATCATCCTGATTGTTTTTTGTCAATATTGTGGTGTTTTTTTGGAGAAGTGAAAGCCCTCGACCAACCAGAGGAAATGTTTACCCACAATTCACTTTATGTTGTAGGGTTGGGAAAGTTAAACTTTCTAAGAGACCGATTCTGTTATCGCTCGATACTTTATACAGTATATTAGTCAGTATGACGATTTGTTTAGTTTTATTTCTGTGGGTGGTAAGGTGGAGCATGTGATAAATGATGGTCATGGTTTGTATGTTTATTCCATTGAAGGCCAAATATATCACCGTATGGAGGGCTTAGTTCCCTTTGATGGAGAAATGGCTAAATTTGCACAAGCATACATTCATGAAACAAACAAGGAAATTATTGAATTTCATAATTTGAAGCAATCTTGCATAATCCGAATTGATTTCGTTTCTATGGGTCTTCTGCTAATCAATTATTACATCACATTGTGGAAAGTATAGAAGAGATGCTAACTGCTAACAATATTTTGGTGCAAACATTTCCTTTCGAATAATATTGTTTAAGTATTTTATACTCCACATGCAAATATAGTACAACAGAGTACACATATCGGTTTTATACTCCACCGGCCGACGGGCCGGGCCCAATGCTAGTAACGTTAAAGATCCAGTAAAAAACTATACTATCAATACTTTAAAGCATAGTAAAATTCCTCGTGGCTGAGTAATTGAGGAAGACAACTTTAATTTGGGTCCGTAATGACATAAAGATAATAGTAAAGAACTATTAAGTTCTCATATAAGTATCATTGATATAGAAAAGCACTAATGTTAATGGAAGCCATGTAATTTGTTTAAATTATTATTTAAATCCGATCTTCTTATTAAATGACAATTGTAATATGAAGTTTTATGTTATTGAATTTTTCCGTCAAAATTTAGCATAGGATTTTATCGTTGCGAATATGACATCTGACCTAGATTTCGAAATAATTAAGGACATGTCATTGCCAGTACAGACAAAAAAATGCAATAAACTTAATCCACAATTTTTAATGATACTACCTCCTCCCTACATCGTCGTCGGTCTACTTCACCCTACCCAAGCTACTACGGGTTGGGCAGGTAAAATCCGCGCGGGTACGGGACGGGACGGGTCTACCACTCTTACATGTTATTTGAAAAAAAATACACACAAATTTTACTTTTTATGATAAAAAGGGGAAAATAATATATAATTGAATAATATTGATAATAGAATCGGTAATTTAGTCTAACAAGTTGCAAAATCAACTTTAACTATTTGAAAAAAAAAGTCAAAATAGAAGAAATATGTATAGATATTGTGCTGATGATGGAAGACTAGTAGTCATGCCACAGCGTTCTTGACTAAGGTTGGAACAACTGGGTCAAGTAGTGCTTCAAGTGGGATAGCCTTGAGGCTACCCCTGTAGACTACCTTTGTCTTTGTCGGAGACCCTAGGTCTTGTATGTATATCGAGTGGACTATCCGACCAGAGTGGTCGGGTTGAGACTAGTGCGACAAAACTGCAAGTGCAAAGTGTTACTTAAGTAATAAAGTAGAAAGTAAATTATCTTTCTCAAGAGATTGGTACAATTCTAGAATTTAACATGGAAGTTCAAGAAAAGGTGGACAAAATGGAAATTGATTGAGATATAATAAATTAAAAGAATTAAAATAGTGTATGGCTATGGTGACTTGCAAGTTACCATGACTTGGAGAAAATGGTCTACCTCTTCTGTAAAGCGGTAAACCACTTTTCAAGAAAATGGTCTACCGCTTCCTTCAAGTGGCACACCACTTCAGGCAAGAGGTCTACTGCTTTCGGCAAGCGATCGATCTGATGACACACTTTCAACTTACACCCACATGTTGGAAGTGGTAGACACCAAACGGTCTACAAATTCTGGCAAATGGTCTACCACTTCCAGTGAACAGCCTAGCGCTTCCAGCGAATGGTTGACCAGATGACACAGTTACCTATTACTTACATTAGAAATATAATGGACAATAGGAGGCCTACAATACGAAATTGTTTGTAGTAATGCAACATCTATAGTTCGTGGACAACCAAAATCTCTGCGCAGATTATACGTCTACACAAAAGAAATAACAACACACCCTTCTTTAACACTTCTCGAGTAAAAAATCCATAAAAGCAAGATTATATGAGATTGATGAACGTTGAAGATGACATAATTACATTACAATTATACTCTAGTTTTTAAGTACCTTCATAACAAGTTGATCTATCACAAAACAACTATTGGATAAAAACTAGCAAACTTAGAATTTGAAGGGAAGATGAAAGTCTCTATAGAGTAAATCAAATCTAAGAGATAAATATGCAAAACACTTCCCAAATTTATGGGAGAACAATAACCCGAGAAACTTCTCATCTATTAATATTTGTATCAATTCTAACTCTCTTACCAACAAACATATCTATTAATATTGGACTCTTCTAATGATATATATGATGTCATTTTAATGGTTCATCATGTCAACTGGATGTTGGAAGCGGTAAACCGCTTGGTGGAAGTGGTAGACCATTTTTTTTTAAAGAGATCGACTACTTAGTAGAAGAGATAGACAATTTTCTTCAAGTCACGGTGACTTACAAGTCACCATAGCAAAATTCTTAAAAATAATGAAACTATAGAAATGCAGGGACCAAACATAGATGAAAAATCAATGAAGAAGCTCTAAGGAAAACAATAGAACTTACTATTTCACCTCTAAGAACTAATTACGTTTGTTAATCAATTTAATTCAATTTTATATTATTAGTATATCTCTAATGTGATAGTTATCTCTGTCGAGACTTGTTATGTCCTAACTATATAATTAATTGTTTACTGTCGTGTAATCCAAAAGTCATTCCGCAAGTCGAGCATATTGTATAACCTCTCATAAAGTTCGAGTATATTCTAACATCTCCCTTTGCATAACCTTCACTTACTATTAATGAACGATTAACTTTTCCCCAATTTAATTTAACGGGTTATATCTCTTTCCTTTGCGATCGTAATTGAATTTTTTGCACATAAAATCGAGTTAATTGTGGTATTCAAAATTACATCCATTTTTATATATTTAGAAACAAAAATTTTGAGATATATATTACAAGTTTATACCTTGGTGATAATGTTCGGTAATACACAAGATTATACCAAGATGGTATAAAAGTATACAATGATACTATAAATATGGTAATAGTGTAGAATGATTGTGTACATGATAATATGAATATACTAATTAAGTTGTCATTTACCAGTTTTCATCACCATCTACCACCAGTTACCACCCTAAACCAAAGTGGTATATTTGGTATTTAAATTATTTTCTGAAATATTTAGTAGATCCATTAGATCACGATAAACTCGTTCTTTTTGGGATTTTGTTTGAGATTTTGAGTGAAAAATAAAGGTGGTACCAGTATGGTAACGAGTAGTATGAGTGTCACACAAATTTTTTTCTAAGAAATATAATAAGAACGAATATCGTTTTGCAAATCACCACGAACATGTTCTATCTGTGAAATTCTTTTTGAAATCCAAATTAAAACAAATAAGATAAAATCTTTTTAAAAAGTAGGGGAAAATAAAAAAATTAATCTCACCCTTTGGATTTAACCCTACTTAAAATCAAAGGATCTGATATAGTTATGTAATAGTGCATATCCAAGGGTTATTGACCCTCTACCCCAAAGTGGTAAATGCCTCCAGGGAGAGGATTCAGTGCATAACTTATATATGCATAAACCACCACTTACTATTTGTAGAAGACTTCTAATTTTCCAATCATTAATTTTAATGGACAATATCTATTTCGCTTTAAGTCATAAATTAAAAAAAAATTGAATAGAAATTTCATATTAAATGTGCTCTTTAAAATGATATTTACTTTGATATTTGTTGGACAAAAAAATCGA